ATATTGGACCTCATGCAAAGTACAGAAATCAGGATACTGATACTTTTTTAGAAGACATTCATTTTATCAAGCAACGGCACTCTGCGTCTTCCATACGTTCCCGTTTTACCATGTCACACCTCATCAGTTTATCTAAAGAGTTGGTTGAGTATAATGTTGCAGTGTAAAATTTATCTCACAAACACAAAATGTAATATAGTCATCACCATAAAGTTTCAGGACAGCCTTAAAAATATACCTAATGCCGAGACAAAAACCATCTAAATTCAGTGTGTTTGGGAAAATTAGTGTGCTAACGTGTGAGATTGTAATGTTTTGTTTCTAATCGGAATGACGTGCAGTTGTCTATGCTACTACAATAATAGACCAATTTCGTTGCCGTAGATTTGTTATGATGTGACCATCCAATCTATAAGATTTTACATGGAAGATGCAATATTATCTATACTGATTCATCTAGTCGTGACAGTCAGTGGTTGCAGTCGATGACTTCCGAATAATACATTTGAGCTGGTGTGAGAGTAATATATTTAATATGACAAGCAAGAGGCTACAAAGATTGATCACGCCTGCATGGCCGAGCTATTCAATCCCGATCAATTTTTCCAGCGTTCACCTTCTCTGGCCTCTATGTGTCAGGTCTTGAGTGTGAATTTCTTCAGTAATCTCGTATTCGACTGCAAGGATAGTGTAATTGAAAACTAGTAGGATACAAGTCAATGTGATGCTGTTAAGCAACTAGAATAGATTATCTTTAATTTGTATGATCGTAAAGCAATGAGCTAAAAAATATGATCTTTTATTGGCACAAAGTTTATGGAGAGCGCAGATATATGAAGCTTATAAAGATAAAACATGTATTTCATTTCCATACATCAGAAGACTACGCCCACGTGATTTAAAAAAAATAGGTTATCAATCTGTTCCCCAAATGTAATGTTGGCGTAATGATAGTTCCATGCAGAGTTACTATCTGCAATTAATTTGTAGGTCATTTCACATTCATGTGATTATATTCTTGTGGATTGTAAGAATCATGCCTTCAGATTCCATGAGCGGCATGATAACCTACCAGAAAGAAGAGTAAATGACAGTAAGTATGTGTAAATAAATGTGTAAAGCACTGCATTTATTGCGCTTATTAAGCTTGTTTGAGTATGATCAACATATTTGCAGAAGCTACATGGTGGCTTTCTTAACTATGGTCCGAACTTCCCATACAGAATAGAAAATACTTGTTTCTACTTATTGATTGAGTTTACCAAAGAGTGAAATTCACACATTTATTCATCTACGATCACTAGTTTGTGAAGTTATTTGTGATAATGTCATTTTGTCTGGCCCCGAAATAATTTTTCCGATGACTCAGATTACAAATAAATCAATAATGCGTGACATGAGCATTTCTGGATGCCACTTTAGATGGATTATTTCATTTAAGACATGATTTCCATAAGAATACAGAATACTTTGGAAGTAACATAACCTAACACTAGTGTTTCTGTTACTCTTATCAGACGAGCACTATTCATACCACCTAGCTCAAGGAACTAGTCTACTTCATCTGGTAAACTTTGGGAGTTTTACGTAAAAGGTTGATGCTTTTTATATGAAAAGGACACGTATCTCTGTCCTAGTGTCTGAATAAGACTTATGTGAATGGAACAGAAACTCACCTACTTAAAGATTCTTGATTGTGGTGTCTCTGAACCCTTCATGAATGTCTGTTTCCCACAATCCACAAGTGATACAATCAGTTGAATTGTGATTTTGAGTCTAATCCAGATACCATGTTATGCACGAAGATTCCGGCTGTTATCTGACCTTCACCATTGAAATTACGGGTCCATTTAGTTATTTTACCATTGAAAACCTGGAAACACCGAACGACTGCTCTGTCACAGTGCGAGACTTCTCCGCAATGAACATTCACGATTCCGGACACGAGAATTCGAATCCAGGCCCTTAGATCTCACGCACTAACACATAACCTTTAGACCGCTAAGCTAGCATCCAACGGTGTTAATGTTTAACTTCAGTCAATCTGCGATCTATGAAATCTTCCACCCATTGCTTGAGGTGGATAATTTATTTACTCCTGATACGAATCAGACCCCACAAACCACTTTTCGTCAACAGTTCCCACGTTCACGATGAGAACAAAATACAGTGTAATTAACTGCCGCCGATCGCCAAACTAGAATAAACAAATAAATAATGACATAGGAAGTGAATTTACCAATTTATTTCAATATGTCTCATACACTGGCACAATAAAAATCATTTGACTACAACATTAACTACGGTTACCTAAAATAGCGATAATTTGCAAAAATATGATCTGAAATTCATAGTTTTTTCTCGGTGATTTCGAGCAACAATCACGGATCACAATACCCCGTGATTGACGCTAGCTACAATTACGGTCACAAATATGAGATATCGGTGTCTGAGACACAGAAGATTAGATTGTACTAATGGTATCAACACTATTTTTACTGACTGGTGTCTTTCGAGTAGTCGTGAGACTTTTAATAGTTCCACTTTAGGAAGTTTGTGCTCCTTTTTAACATCCATCCAAAGCATTCTTTCTGTCATTAAAACCTGTGGATGAAACTGGAGTAGTCTTTTATGTTTACGATTACCAGACTGATATTACAAAACTTAACTTAGCTAAAACTGGAGTCCTTTTGATTAGACAGTTTGTTGCTATCAGAATTTTAACGTCTTTCTTCAACCGATTAGGTGACATTTATGGACAGAAACACCTAATGAATTTCGCCTGATACGTAAGCTTTGGATATTTTCAAAGGTCACCACCGGTCCCTTATGACTCTGCTTACGGTAGCTCATAGTAACCTTCCTGATACTACCTGTTTAATTCAAAGAGTTCTACAGGGAGGAACAAACTTTTTGGGAGAATCTAGCACAGTCTATGTCACTGTAGTGTTAAGTTGCAACGTACCGTCAGTGATGTTTATGTCCGATGAATCAATTCTGATGGTACTGAAATACCTATTTTTTGACTTCCTGAGTGTCCTTGATTGATTACCTGTTTTTGGCTGTTTTCTTACAAATAGTTTACATAAGGACAGTTAAGTATTAGCTGTGAATAAATTTATTATCAGTATAGGATTGTGGATATTGTTGGGTTTCACACGATGATCATGTGCTTACTGGTGAATAGCTTCGAGATTGGTTTCTTGTAGTTCTAGTGAGAAGCCGTGACCAGTGGAGAGACATTTACACAATGAAGTCAATTGTGAACGGCTGTTCAATATTGTGGATTGGTTGAAATCAGACAATAATACCGTTGAACGTCGGCTCAATGGTCTACAGGTTAAGCGTTTGCCCACGAGAATAAAGGTCCTGGGTTATAGTTCCTTTGGTGCAGGATCGTGGATGTGCGTTCCTGAGGAGTCCTATATAAGAACAAAGCTGCCATCCAATGTTTCCAGGCTTTCAATGGTGGTCTAACATTCATCCATTTACGATATCAATTGAAAATAAAATTATGATTCAACAAGTGGCAAAAACAGCGAACAACTGTGAAAGATTGATATTATTGTAATAGTCGAATTGAATAGTACAATTTAAGACAAACAGAAATAGATGAACTCAAATGTACGTATTAGACTTGAAAGTCGGAACATGCACGTAGTCAAGTTAAAGGGGGTTATCTAGTGATACAAATGCCATAAATAGTCTGTAAATATACTAAACATAGGGATTTGTCATGAAGAATGGTAAACACCAAACAGAAACCTGGACCATTCTCCATTTAACTAATAATGCGGATACGACACGAATAAGAAAAATAATTCCTAAATCCTGAGGTTTGAATGTGTATTATGGGTCAGAAAAGAACATTTGTCGCATCTGAATACAACGAAATCTGAGGAATGCAAATATTGTACTGATATCATTGAAACGCATTTTTGACCAGCTTGACAGAAAAAATCCACACACGATCTTCATCAGTTTTATTCGTCCCCATTTAGAGTACGGAAACGCAGTATTTCCTCCCTCATTTCAAAAGGATAAAGATACTCTGAAGTGTATCCAAAGGCGAGCCACGAAATCAGTTCGCGGAATCGTGTTCAAGTCTTATGAAGAGCGCCTCCAATCACCAAAAATTCACCTACTAGAGTATAGGCGTCTTAGAGGTGATCTTTTAATGGTTCGTCGTATCCTTAACACTTCTGGACATCCGCTTAAACACCTACTGAAGCTTAGCTGCAACACAAACCTTAGAGGTAACACCCGGAAACTGGGGACACAACCTAACATAACGGATCGTAGGCGGATCTGCTACTCGATAAGAGTAGCCAGATGCCGGAATTCACTGCCGGCTGAGCTAGTCCACGCGACTTTGCAGGAGTTCTTTAAGAGAAAATGTGATATATTCCTAAGGACTAAGGAAGATACCTAACTATGATTTGCCAATTGTTTTCTCTTCTATCGTCAAATATATCTAGATACCAACCTAACGGCATCGGTGATTCACTGTTATTAGATACGTAAGCTCTTTAAAAGAAGGCTTGGTCTATTCCATCCACAACCATTTGAACCCTAAGCTAATACTCCTTGCTCGTGAAACGAGTATGTACTGATTCATACTCAAAAGTCACTGTTGTTTATCACAATATGGTACCAAAAACAACGACCACCTTGCTATTTTTCGCCTAACCTGCTTTGTCGTTTTAAATGTGTTGGATATCGAAATAAAGTCAAGAACAGAGTTCCTGTTTTTAAATCTGAAGGTCGTCCCCGCGCTTGAAGTTTCTAGGACGACGGTGAGCTTGTCATCCCGCTGCTAGTCAGCGTCTGTTTGTTTCTAATTTTTAATATCTGTATGCATCGTATCAAACCCATCTTACTGTTCATAGTGTCTTGAGACCATTTCTTCTTCAGTGAAATTTTTGTTAAAACTACGACTTCATTTTAATAAGATGTCAAAGTTTTTTGGAGACCGGTCGTATGATAGTAACAAATCAAGTCATGTAAGCTCCTCACACAGTTAGGTCTCTCTAAGTTAACAACATAACTAGTCTAATAAAATATTCATTCAATAAACCGTTACTTGTAAAATACCCTGGTCACTTTACTGTATTTCGGCTAACTGTTAGTTACTTTACAACTATAATACTAACCATGGCATTGCTTTCAAATTTTTCTTGAGCAATTAGTCAATTTTACGGCGTTTGTTGATAAGCCTTTTGATGTCTACTAATGCTTGTCATTAATTTCATGTTTTTTAGTCTAATAATCTATGTTAATATTGCCACCATAATTGTGCAAATGCAATCGCATCTGTCTGATCTGTCAACCACAAGTATACTGGTACTGACGGATTTATTTGATACGACTACGGATCTACTGTAAGTTGGCAATAGGATGTAGTACATTTACTGGGATAGGTAAAACTACAATATGTTGTGCCCTAGAATATTTAACATTCATGCTTTACGTATGTGCGTTAGTATAGCGGCCTAGCGTGATTCATTATAGCTACAGTTAGCTGAGATAAAATTCTCCAGCCGAAAATAATCAACTTGGATCACTATAAAACATTTCCCACTGAGAATTCATATAGAACATTTCTAGTGTCAGTCTTTTCTCACATCAAGATTTAAGTGTTTCTATGTAGTGTTATACACTTGTTCTTTCAACCTAGTAAGAACCCCTTTTACCTTTCATCTACAAATCAAATAAGTTTATCATTAATAGCACAAGTAACTGCCAGATTTTGTGTAACAGTCAGCGTTAGTAGCTTGTACAAGGTTACTTCCTGTAAAGGTTAGTTGAACTGATTGTATGGTATGGGTAGTGGCTTGTTGAAACAGTAACCATAAAATAAAATAAAACTATAAATTAGCATTATTAAGTAGGAGCAAAGCGAAAGCAATCGCAGTTTGAACTGAATTGTTAAGTGCTATTGAAAACTACTTTCATCTAACATTCACGGGCAAATTTGCCGATTAACGTAAAGTAAGTTGCTTCATTACTCACTAACACCCTTACTATTCTGTTTCATGTGTACAATGATGTTAAAATTCTTGTTTACAGGTTATTTCCATACCAACGAAAATGCTGTGACGTATATTTTCAAATTAAAATTATCGTTTACATTTAACACGTGTTTCTGATTTTATCCCCTTTTGAACTTAGCTGTTAGTGAAATTAAAAGTGACATAGTTGGAGTCGTCTATTATTGATGTGAATATTTATCCCAGATAAATACGTTTGACGTGTAGTATCGTGAAATAACTCACAAGGTGCTATCATATGTGTTAGCTAGATCCGAACCGATTGGCATTCGGCTAACGTTATTCGAGTTTGTTTTGTGAATATATAAGTTAGCATTTCAATATTGAATAACACCCGTTTGTATTTACATTTTGCTGAACTGTTGACAATTACGGAGTGGTTCATCAATCTGGACAGTTATACTGATGTAAACACAAATTGTATTGAAGAGTGGGAATTTTCAAGCGGTAATATATTTTTATTGCTTACCAATCTTCAAACCACACGAGAAAAATAAACAGCACGCATCCAAAATATCTCAAGGTTTTAATTCAAATAATTGAGTATTTTTATATCAGAATTAACCATAGTTACCTTCAATTTACTTTGATCTAGGAAACAAATTCGCTTTGGTTGTGATCATATTTGATTTTCCTATTGTGTGGTTTTAATTTACTGCTCGTTATGTCTGGAAAGAAATAAAGTTATTGTGATTAATTCGTCATTGTTAAATTCATTACCTAGTTGTTGGAAATAGTATTCGTATCGCATATGCAAAATTTGATTCAGCATATAAATGTCACGATCAAGTTCCTCTCTTTGTACCCCTAAACGCATACTTTAATCTTTATTCTGACATTTGCGTTTTCAATATTAAGTATACACACAAATTACCGCTTCAGAAATGATTTACTAACCATAGTGCATCTGAACACTCTTCGAAATACACCTTTTTTATTTGATCATTCAATGAGGCATTTTTATTTTGAGTACGACTCCATCACCAGCATGGTTTTGTATGGCGAGAATTCTTTATTCGGATTTTACGTTTCAACTCCATTATTTCAGCAAATTTTAAGTTACTACTATTCAAAACCCATAGTTTACAAATCACAAACATTAAGTGGGTCCACTTTCGTTCTAATTCTGTAGTCGGGAATTATTTCAGGTTTTAACCTCTTGTAATTATTAATATTTTTAATGGTGATCTATCTCTTCCCTCTGTAGATATTGTACTACTAAGTGGCCAGTTACAGGTGTGCACAAATGACCTGTATATTAACTTATGTGGTCAAGATACTCTTCATTTTTCTCGGGTTTTGGTCCAGGATTCCTCCTAATAAAGCATATTCTCTAGAGCAGTCGTCCCCCACCTCTCATAATCACTCTGTAAACGATAGTCTCAAACATCTCCATATTTTATTTCGACATGGTGACAGATCTCCAATCGTTAACATGCCTGCTATTCTACACAAAATTCCTCCTGCTTGGTCGCAAGGCTTCGGCATGCTTACAGATAAAGGTGTAGAGCAACACTTTTTTCTTGGGAAGTGGTTACGATCAAAGTATCAAGGATTTGTTCCCAGTAAATATAACGGTTCTTATTATCATGTTCGTAGTACGGATGTCGATAGAACTCTAATGTCAGCAATGGCAAATGCAGCTGGGTTTTATAACCAGTCTCCCTCTCCTCTGTCCGCTTATGGCATCAATTGGTTTCCCATACCTGTTCATACAAAACCTCAAGTAAGTATAACTTTATGTTAACCTGAAGATTAATTTTGAGAGCTCAGTTTTTGTATCTGTATGTATATCAACCGAATTCTGTGTTAACTTTTAGAAGTCAAAAACTCATATTTTCAAATAAGATTCAGGAAACGTAAATCGAAAGCTGTTCACAAGACTCTAAGATCATGATCATGTAACGGGATTCTAAACTTTTGTTTCATTGTTAAAACAGCAATAGGTGATACCTTGTTTGTGACTGCATCTTAATGAGTGCTTATTTCGTCATAATAGTATTTCTATTTCCATCTTAACGAAGTGAAGCTATATCATCAATAATAACTATACATTAGCTGTATTTCATAAGTCAAAAAGGTATCTTATCATTTTCAGTTTTTTATGTCTATGTTTATTTTGTTGATGCTTTTCTCTACAAAAAGTGTCTATAGAAACTCCTAAACGCTTATTTATCTAGTGATAACGCTTTTAATTCGGCCGTATTGAGCTTAACACTGGGAAAATTGTGTACATACTGGCCTGGTTTAGGTGAGAGTATCATCTCTGGAATATATTTGTCTAGATTTTCTTTTAGTTTCATACGTTTCTTTTCTTTTCTTGTACCAACTACATAGTCCGAAAATTTTTCTTTTAATTAATTAAGAAGCTCTTCCACTGCGTAAACTGATTGACACTTTTTAGTGTCTCAGTAATATATAAATTTAGAGAATTGATTTAATTTAATACATAACGTTTGAGTCTTTCAATTTAATCGAACTGTAGAGCTACGTAAAGATTTCTAATATACTTTTGAATGCAAGTTGTTTCCCATGCATTCCTTGATAAAATCAACATTTGCCGTCGCTTCACTGAGCCTTGGGTTGTAATTCAGATATTCCTGGAGAACCTTTGACACAAACGTCTGCTCAGAACATTTGAGTATAGTGAAAATTCTCATTTTTACATGGTAAGAAGAACGACTCGAGCGGAGAAATTTCCTTCCAATTAGTTTTTAATCATGACTCTACACTAATATATATATATATATATATATATATATATATATATATATATATATATATATATATATATATATATGATTTACAACAGTGAAACAATACTCGTCGAGTAGTTACGTTACGAACTCCGCCTGTAGCTCTTATAGGGTTGCTGCCGGTCCCAAGCCCGGGTAAAGGAGGAGGGTTGGGCATGGGGTTAGCGTCCCCATCCCGTAGAAAACTAACTCGCTAAAAAAACGCTTACCAGAAAAAATAATCCAAACCATTTTAACTCTGCCCTGGGAGTTAGAAGGTCTTCATTTAGAAGAATTATGACGCTTCATGGTGAAAGCCGAGTTCCTTCGGAAGCCACGAGGCCGATGCCCCTTCTAACAACCAGAGCAAAAATTTTTATAGGTACATGGAACGTTCGAACAATGTGGGAAACCGGGAAGACCAGTCAAATATCAATGGAAATGAGGAGATACAACTTAGCAGTACTGGGAATCAGCGAAACCCGCTCGACAGAAAAAGCTAGCTACGGGAGAGATGCTGCTATACTCCGGTCACGAAGAGGACAATGCTCCACACACTCAGGGAGTCGCTCTTATGTTGTCCAAAGTAGCACGAAATGCACTTGTAGGATGGGAATCTCACGGATCCAGAATCATCAAAGCATCATTCAAAACAAAGAAGGAGGGGATCTTAATGAATATTATCCAATGTTATGCACCCACCAATGATAGCAACGACGAAATTAAAGATCAGTTCTACGAGCGGCTGCAGTCAATCATTGAGAAATGCCCAAGAAAGGAGCTAACTATTCTGATGGGAGATCTAAATGCCAAAGTCGGAATAGACAACACTGGATATGAAGATATTATGGGACGACATGGACTGGGAGAAAGAAACGAAAATGGAGAAAGATTTGCAAATCTATGTGCATTCAACAAATTGGTCATAAGAGGCACAATATTTCCACACAAGCGTATACACAAGGCTACATGGATCTCACCGGACCACACTACAGAGAACCAAATAGATCATATTTGCATCAACAAAAAATTCCGAAGGACAATGGAAGATGTGAGAACCAGGAGAGGTGCTGACGTAGCTTCAGATCACCACCTAGTTATAGCCAATTTAAAACTGAAGCTAAAAAAGAACTGGACAAGTGGACAAACAGCAATACAAAGGTTCAATACAGCCTTCCTTCGAGATACTGTCAAACTCAATGAAATCAAGATATTTCATGCAATTGGTTCCCTTTATGAATTTAAATAGAGCAAGAACAAACATTGATGCAGAATAGTATGAATTCATATTATTTCGAGGTTTCTCGTCAGCTGCTTACAAACCAAAATTGTGATAGAATTTTTACATGGAGATAGTGTGAAACAATTGACATAAATGAGTGTAAATAACGTGATTACAAGGACCGGAGTCAGACAAGGCTGTTTACTCTCTCCCTTCCTCTTTCTTCTGGTGGTCGACTGGATTATGAAGACCTCAACATCTGAAGGAAAACACGGAATACAATGGACAGCTCAGAATCAATTAGACGATTTGGACTTCGCAGATGACCTAGCCCTCCTATCACGTACACACGAACAGATGCAGATGAAGACAGCCAGTGTAGCAGCAGTCTCTGCATCAGCAGGCCTCAGCATACACAAAGGGAAAACTAAGGTCCTCAAATTCAAAGCGGAGAACAGCAATCCAATCACACTTGATGGCGAAACTCTGGAAGATGTAGAGTCCTTCACATAGCTGGGAAGCATCATCGATGGACAAGGAGGATCCGATGCAGACGTAAAGGCGAGGATCGGCAAAGCAAGGGTCGCATTCCTACAATTGAAGAACATATGGAACTCAAAACAACTTTCAACCAATATCAAAGTGAGAATCTTCAATACGAACGTCAAGGCAGTTCTACTGTATGGAGCTGAAACTTGGAGAACTACAACAACCACAATCAAGAAAGTACAAGTATTTATAAATAGCTGTCTTCGCAAGATACTCAACATCCATTGGCCGGATACCATTAGCAACAGCCTTCTGTGGGAGAGAACAAACCAACTTCCAGCTGAAGAAGAAATTAGGAAAAGACGATGGAAATGGATAGGACATACACTACGCAAATCGTCAAACTGCATCACGAGGCAAGCCCTAACTTGGAATCCTGAAGGGAAGCGAAAAAGAGGAAAGCCAAAGAACACATTGCGTCGGATAATAGAAGCAGATATGAAAACGATGAATTACAACTGGACAGAGCTAGAAAGGATTGCCCAGGACAGGGTTGGATGGAGAATGCTGGTGAGCGGCCTATGCTCCTTCACGAGGAGTAACAGGCGTAAGGTTCAAGGAAAGCTTCAAGTTACGTTACGTAGTAAGTAGTTGTCATACTCCATTTCATTTCATTACATTGATTTAAGTGATTCAACGATTGAGTTTTGACCAGTTTTTCACAATATTCATGATTATAAAATAAATTTATTTAATTTTGTATACTCATCTTTCACCTACACATTTTATAAGGGCTAGTAATATCCCCTGATTGCTCAAATAAATGTGAATTGAAGTTTGAACCATCAACCCAGCGGTTGAAAGTTGAATGATTTCACTACCATGTCACCATTTTATTTACAAGATATCACTATCTACTTATGTTGTTACTATCGCGCACAAAATACAGTATAAGGGTACCAATGTATGAGGAAAATAAAATAACTATGAACTTTAGGGGTAATGAAGTATCATACTTTGTTATTCATTCCACTTAACTAACGAATTACATTACATTCTATCATCTCTAACTAAAGTTAATATTCATCGTGGATATAGCTATAATCGATCGTTGACATTTTAATTAATTTCGGTAAGTAACACTTGTCTGTACATGTCACTGTTTTAAAATATGAAACAATATTTTTTTAGACCTCAAATACTCAAACTATGTAAATAAGAGTGATGCTGTAGTCTAGTGGGTGAATGTCGTTAGCCTACACCACTGTGGCTGTGTGATATCCCAACTGTATTGATTATGATATACCTCTTAATTATTATCAATATCAGCGTACATTGTCTTACATTTTCGTCTACAGGTAACAGATACACTTTTGGGTGTTGCACCATGTCCTTATCGGGATTCGTTACAACGTATACAAATGGATAGTCAACCATCTATTGAATTTGAGAAAAATCACTCAAATTTATTTGTCAAACTTACTAATGTCGCTGGTATTGGTCCAGTTAATCGTCATAATGTATGGTCCATATCCGATTTTATTACATGTATGATTGCTCATAACATTACCCTTCCTGATTGGTGTACAGATGATTTTCTAGCAGAATTATATGAAGTCAATAGATTCTATTGGGTGGTAAGCATTTTTTTTCCCCACAATTAGATATATGTGATAAGGTTATTTGCTTATGTATTATCGAATATACAGTTATTTATTAATTTTGAGAGTGTGAGCAAACCAGAGGACATACTTTCACTCAAGATACATAAAACAAATATTTCCCGACTATAAACGCTAGATAGTTATTGTTATAACCCAGCTATTCCTATTGCTTAGTATTCTCGGACACCGACTCACTGGACAAGTCCCCAAATCAGAACACGGTTGAACAGGGAAGAGGTTATATTCCAAGTAACAAGGTTAGATGGAAGTAAGAAGCAAGTAGGAAATGCAATAGGGAAAACGTTAGTATATTTATAGCTTTTACATGAGAAGATCCTAGAGTGTTCACTAAGTATTGACTAACGCTGATTGGCTAGTTCTTATCCAATCAGCGTGCACCAAAGCAATTATGCATTGAGCATGCTTTAATCCAGTCTATGTCCCGCTAACAGTTATGTAATCAAGATAACTCATTCATTTTCTGTCCGTTAATTTATTGTTAAGACGACTAGAGAACATTCTAGCTCTATACTAGCTTCTATTTTGAACAAGTACTGGATTATACACAGGTATCCTTGATACATTAGCGTAAGTTAATTTTCTCTTCATAATTTACGTCGTGAACCGATCATCTCTCATTTTCCGGTTTAACACATGATTGTTGGATAATTTCTACAAAATTAACTATATGATAGTAAATCCAAGTTAACCAGTTTTAGGCAGAGATGGGTAGTGACTAACAATGGGATCCAGGACGTGCGTTTCGTTTTATATGGAGTTCGTCGGTTGGATTTACCTGTGTCTCGAAATTGATACTCTCTCCTGGATTCGAACCCATTACCTTTCGCTTCAGATGCCAGCGTGTTATCCGCTTAGCTACCAGGTCCAGATAGTCATTTTAATGTAACGAATTACTTTAGAAGTTTCACTAAACAAAAACTTGACAATTTGCCTGAACAAAAATTGTGACGTAATTGTTAATGAGCTTTTATCATATTAAAATTAATTTTTACGGATTCGAACTTTTAATATACTCAACTGTTACCTGTTTAGTTCAATATATAAGTTTCTCATTCAGTTTCAATGGATTAATGGTTTACTAGTTAAATAACTCAATTTTCAACCACTGGACTGTTAGTTTAATTTTTTTTACCTACTTTAGTATGGGCGACATGATAGTGTAACTAGTCTCCACAAAAATTAATTTACTCGTCATTGAGTACGTGAACTTTCCCTTAATTACTAAATTACTTGTATCTCGATCTCATCGTCTAAGTAATACGTATGTATGGTTGAATAACTAATTGAAGAATTTAAAGGTCAAACGTTAATGGGTTATGAACCTTGATCGCATGATGTAGTTTAAATATGATTAAAACCATTTGAAAGTTGCAGTAATCACATTTTCTTTCAATATATTTTGACATAAATATCGGAGAGAAAGCTGTAATTTGTACCAAATACAGATTTATGTAATCGATTTTTAGTAACACGTGTGTTACATGAAGACTAAGAATAATACCAAATTCTTTAAACGGCAGTACGAGGAGCAGGATTCGGACGTGTAAGCTAGCAGTTGAAAATCATGTAAACTTACTACTAAAGCGCTACTTCTAAAAATTTGTTAATCGTTTCTTTTTTAATGTTTGCAAAATTTGGAAGCAACTTTTTACTGGGTTTTAATTGTATAGTTTTTAAATAGTTCCAACTTAGTACCTTACTACAAATGGCGAGCAGATCGAACATTGGTACTTCAAAATTTGTCAGAATTCATATCAAGGTGTACAAAACCCTGTATATTGACTAAAGTCAATATTATACGTTATTTACTGTATAATACATTTGTCTGATTTGCTTTATCATATACAATGTCTCTATTTTTCTTTATATCAACCAAACATTTCCCATTTAATCTCATAAAATAGTAAATACTAATTAATTAATTGATCATTTGTGATTGGGCTACGTATGCTAGCCTTCAGTCGCTCGTTTCCATCATTTGAAAAAATCTTTGAAAATCATTCATAATGGTATATTTTTCTGCGTAAATTTTAAAATATTCAAATCCCTGCGACACAATAAAGTAAGTTATACTATCCTGGTGATAATATCAAATACATATGTAAATGTCTATTTTTTTTCGTCAGAAAAAATATTCTTCTTCAGATGATATCATTCGATTGGAAATTGGTGTCTTCTTAAACACATTCGTTAAACATATACATTCCATCATACGTGGGGAACAATTGAATTTAACTTATGAATATACATTATTCACCGAACATATGATGATTTATTCAGCTCATGATACTGATGTAACTTATATTTTAGCTGGTTTCGGTGTTTATAATAATCAAACAATTAATTATGCATCTACTGTTATTCTAGAATTACATGGTCCAGATAAATCTAGCAAAGAAAGTGATTATCGTATAAAATTGTTGTATAAAAAAGGTTGGACTGATGAAACTGGTGAATATTTAACCTTACCAGCTTGTAAAGGTCAACCTGGTTACAATGGTTGTCCTGTGAATCTTGTATTGGAACAAATTAAACCATTATTATTGAGTACTGATAGATTTTATAAAGAATGTTCAATAGATCAACCGGATAGCGTAAATTATCGATTACATCCAATTGTATTTATCTTTGTCGGTGCATCAATCTCCTCTGTAATAATGCTTCTAGTCTTTTGGTATTATTCACTGCGTTTACGTCGTTATAACAGTTTAGACGTTACGGAACAACCAATATTATAATTGTTAAATAAAGAAATGAAAATAAAAGAAGATATCTAGTAACATTATTGTTAGAATCATCGTCATTATTACCTAAATCATTATCATCACAACGTATTTTTTACTCTTCCCTCCCATGTGTTGTTCTGCGACGATTTGCTATTTTTTTATACAACAGTGTTGTTTAACTCTTTTTGTTCTTTTTTATGATCGTTTTGAATGTTGATTATAGTTTTCTGCTCATATATATACATTATTGTAGACTTATTACTTTATATTTTGTTATATAATTAATAAATTAATGCATACTCAGTGAACTGAACTGTACTGAAATTATTGTATCACTTGTTATACTTGGTTAATGCTTTAGTATTGGTTATTTTACGATCGGCATCCCAGGTTTTATGATATGCCAAGAGTATTTTGTTAAGAGACACAGAAGAAATGTTAGAACACAAAGAACGAGTTTGGCTATGATGACCGAAACGAACTGCAATGTTATCGAAAGTGCTCGGATGATTAAAAATTCTCGATTACCATTACAGTGGAAGGAAGTGAAACGGGATGACTAGACTGATAACTCTTGGTATTAAGCTTTAGTATTTTCCATCGGTCAATACAAAACAAGTTGTTCGATAATATTCCAATCAGTGACTCTTTTAAGTATACCTATCCAATATGAACAAGCAGATTATTTAATTGACAAGCAATGGATTGCGCTGAACAGCACATGTGTCTTCGAAAATGTCGGAAGACTAAAAATGGTCTGGTATCAAAATATTATTATACAGTAGACGTTCAGCTTTCTGTTTTAAGCAACATAAAAAGGTTATAGTAGAAACACCGTTTATTTATTATTAGTAGTAATAGTGTAGTGAACAGAACACGGGTGGGGACAATCGAATGTATTTAACACAAAATTACAGAACATCTCAATAAAATCTGAGACCCATATATCAAATCGTTAATTTGCAAAGTGTCCACCAATTGTTTCAAATGACTCAGACTTCATTGTTCTTGCATTTTCATACAAATTGCATTCTATTCCCGCTCTTGCTTTCTTGATCTTCCCCGATCTTCTGCTGCCAGACATTGCATTCCTGACTCGCGTCATATACCACTTATATCAATATAAGTAGCACGCACCACAATAGTAGTAACCTTACTCAATATTATATTTTTGGTACAATATAGAATTCTCAACACAAAGTATTTCAACGAGTTATCTTATTTTAATCGCTGAAATATTCCCATTATATTAAAACACAATTATATGAACGAAGAATATTCTTTTCAATGAATTTCTCATCAGGTACTACAATGATCATATCCAAATTAATAATCCATAAAATTGGCTAGATTTAAGGCAGAGTACATCATTTGGAAATTGTAATATATGAATTGAGAATTGTTGTTTGTTATATAAAATCAATTCAGATTGTTAATATTGCGGCTGTTTAATATAAAGTGTTAACTTGAATCAGTTTATAAGCGAAATGAAATTGTGCGATAAATGATCAGAATAAATGTGGTCAACATGGGGTGAGAGAGAAAATGATGGAATAAAAATCAGAAATTACGTAATATGTCGAATAATATGAATTAGGTCAGATATAGAAAAAAGGGGTGAATGCTGAATAAATATCTCGAAACGGTTATCAAGTGTAATAATAATAACAATGATAAAGATAATAATCACAATGGTAAGATGCTTGGATAAGTTAAGTTTGAGACATTTTTATGTCCCTTATTTCTTGATCGACCCTTGCGATAAATATTGAGTGGTCGCCAGTCAGATGTTAGTAGTTCAGGACCCGACATCTGAATAGTGTATATTCTTTTCGGTGCATATAACCAGCAACCACGATGTCTCTGATTGGGCTCTTATGTAACTTGTGCAGTGAAATGTAAACTTTTCACAAACGCACCTGAATGGGTTATGAGACTAATAGGCATAATGATGTGCTAAAACAAACAAGCAAAAAGATAACTTGTTGAAATATCCAGATGGCAGGAATGGGTAGCCCAGATATTCAAGCAGGCCATATCTATAGTGGTTTACTGTGATTAGTTCAACAACTCACAAAAGTATCACAGTTAAGGAGTATTCAGATTATGCCACAGCATTAATCATTGTCTGAAGTAAATAAATTTCTGCTTCATCCGTCAACAGATTTAAGCATTAATATCTGATTAAGCCACTTCTTATCATACCACAATATTTTATAAATTTCTAGTGGCTTTCGGATTGCTTCTCTTTTAGAATAATGAAAATGTCCCTAAAACAGGAAATTTTTGGTTGTGTCGATGAAAACAATTATTATTAAGCATCCTGATTTAGATATAATTATTCAGTAACTAATATAACTTGAATAATGCAATAAAATTTACAGGAAGGGAAGGGAACTAGTAATTGGACCTTTAAGTTATTGATAAGTTTAAATTTCAAAACAAAATTTTAGTTACAAAACTGTCGTATAATTTGACTGGGAAAATCTTCAAACTTTTGAGCAAAATATGTTACCGAAAAATGTTTATTTTGTAAAAGTCTAATATGAGATTAGTTCGTTCGAGATTTTGGAGACTTGTTAGCGTTATTTGAATTTTTTATTACACTGTGGTAATACAGTATCGAACATATAGTGTCTAGTATTATGTCGAGCCCACATTGGTTGCTCTAGAATCCGTACAGACTGACTGGTTCAGTTTTCATGAGCCACATTTCAATCTTGTCAATTATTCGATCATTAACATTGACTGTTCTTATATGAGCGTAAGTGTGTGTATTATTTACCCTATTCATTACGTGTCAGCAGTTTGTTTTTGTCTGGCTATGAATATTGAACCTCGCTTTATCAAAATGTGTTGACTCACTCTCCTTGCTTTCGCATAAATATGTATATGCTTAGATCTTATTAATTGATCCTCCTTTGTATTCGCTCGCTTGCGCGCATTAGCTTTTTTGCTCGAATCCTCTTAGTGTGCTTGTGGCTTAGTGATCGATGCTATTCAATAATTAATTGATCTGTATGGAAGCTAGAATAACCCATGTGAGCTTGACATAGTATTCGACACTGCAAAAAACTCTTCCGACTGTGCAACAGATAATCCACACAACGAATGTATTTTAGTAAAAAGAATTTTCAATAGTTGAACTTATGAGTCAATTGAAGCTAGACCACCATGGAAACTATGAAAGCACCGGGTGGCTGTTTCGCCCTAGTGTGGGACTCCTCAACAGTGCGCATCCATGATCCCGCTCCCTGCGAGATTCCAACCCAGAACCAATCAGCAAACTTTAGAAGTATCAGGAAATAGATATGTTCCACCTGCACGACACTTTTCTACATATCGGGATAGAACTTTTTCTCATGGTTAGCGGTTTCTAGCAAGAATCTTTCTTATGAAATATCTCTAAACCTATACCCAACTCTCCTTTTCTCGGACTTGAGACCGGCAGTAACCCTAGAGCAGCTACGGGTAGAGTTGGGTTTTACGCATGGTACTTCTATAAAGTTGTCCAATAATAAGTGATATATCTCAGTCATTTCTAATTTTCTGGAGTTTAGTCGGTGAATGGGAGTTTATTCGATCATAGTGAGTGTTTGAAAGTCATCAACTAATCGTTTAAATTAACTAACTGTAATCAATTGACTTTATTGTGCAACCAACTTCCGGTGCCATTAGTTAAAAACTGTCTCACACGCAGGAGAGCTGAATTCCATTTATTACGTCAAAAGACATCTCATATTCTAACTAAACAAAAACATCTTACGCCTAACATTTCGAAAGAAGAATTGAAGGCTCCACATTCGCTTCAAAAAGACAAAACTATTATAGTCACAAAAGCTGACGAAGGCAATATAACAGTGGTCATGAATAGAAAAGATTATATTAATAAAGCTCTTGAACATCTCTCTACAGGACTATATGAAAAGATCGATCCCAAAAATCCTTTAACGACTAGAAATAAAGTCAAATCAGAGACAGGTCAACTTTTGAAAGGACTAAAACTGGTCATTAGTGTCTCGCTATAGAGTGCTCTATATCCCAGCTCATGCAATACTTCACGTTTTTATGGTTTACCTAAAATTCATAAACCAGACATCCCCTAAAGCCTATAGTAGACTTCACAAACACACCAACATATGCATTATCGAAATATCTGAGCAAAATATCAAAGCCACTACAAGTTACATAATATGATTAAAGATTCTTATGACTTTAAATATAAAATATCGAATTAATTATCGAAAAGGACGAAATCATGGTAAGCTATGATGTTTCATTACATACTAGTATTCCCATTGATAAATGCTTAGAATTCATTAGTGATTTACTAGAGAACGACAATACTCTTTTTGACAAATGTCCTTTAAGCATCCTTAAAACTACTTAAATTCGCCACTATTAACTTTTAACGGGACTTTATATAAACAAACTGACGATCGTAGCCAACCTGTTTACAGCATATATAGAATCAAATATTTTCTCCAATGACATTAAACCACGAATTTAGCTTAGATATATAGATGATACCTTTGTTATGATAAAAAAGACTCGTCTAAGATCTTTTTCGAAACGGATCAATACACTTTCATGGCACATCAAATTTACGAACGAGAATGAAAATGAACATGGTGAGCTACCATTTTTAAATTGCTTAGTGGGAAGAAATCTAAATGGAAATCTAAATATATCCATCTACCGAAAACCTACACACGCTAATCGTTATATTTACTTCAATTCAGAACAACCATTCAATGAAAAGATCTCGCTAGCCCTAAATCTTTTTATAAGAACTAACAAGATTATCACATCAGAAGAGGAAAAACAAAAAGAACAAAAGAATGTAATTAGCATCTTACAATTTAATAATTTTCCTATGAAGATTATTAGAAGTATATTAAAACAAGACGTTTCATTGCGTAATAATAATAATTCGAATGGAATACCATGGATTGGCAATGCAGTTTTACCATACCGTC